GCTTGCCCAGGATGTATCAGAATAGAAGCATCAGCGCACTTGGCTGGGGAGATAGGTTGATGAAAACAACAGGCTGACCAGCTAACCTCTGACACTGATTTCTTTTTCCCCTCCCCCTCCAAATCCCAGGGCTGATGGATAATGGACTGGGGAGTGGGTCTCTCAAAGCTACTTCTTCCTTAGAGATCAATGGTATAACTCTGAACAGAGTTGTCTTTATCAAATGAAGCGACAACAAATGAAGGTGATTAAAACAAATTCCGTGGTGACGCGGGCTCCTTGGCTTCCTTCTTAAATTCGTCTGGAGGGTCACACACATGCCTCCTCCCCACTTTACATTAGCAGACACTCCCATGGGCACAAGAGCTCACATGAGCTCAAAATAACCCAGCACTTGTGGAGGAGCAAAGAGACCATGAAATGCAGACAAGCTGAATCACACATACCAAGTGAATCAGAATCATTAGAACAGATGACCCAAGAATGTCAAAGATGCTTTAGGAGATAAACGAAGATATCAGCAATCTGAACTAAGAAATCATGAAAGAGTAGAAACATGAGGCTCTCTTGTTAAATACTCGCCATTTTCCAAAAATCCACAAACTACTGAAATCATTTTCTTTGATACCTCTGTCGGCTTATTCAAGTTGCCGGTTAACCACTATACCCCAAATATGTGCACACCAATCACTATTTCCAGACTGTGGCCTTTTTCTGCTCTTTTGTGTTTTAAATCCTGTTTTTTGGCTTTGTTTCTTAACAATAGTGAAATGACTGCCTTCCTCATGTGACTAAATGGCTGAAGCAAATTAACTAAAGGCCCCTGGGTTATCCTTTGACTAAATAAAATAATTAGAGGGGAAATGCAACAAATAGGTAAAAGGCACAGAGGATATAGCTAAAAAGTAAGTTAGAGACTGTAAACTCAGGTCGAGGAACGTTCCCAGGCACCTACAGGAAAAAATAAAGATACGGAAAACATAAAAGGAATATGTGATATGGAGGGTATTGAAGGTAGAAGCATAATGCCAATATCTAGATTTTATGGATTCAAAATAGGGAGAGGGGAATTGGAAAAGATATATTTAAAGAGATAAAGAAGGTAAATTTTCCTAAATTAAATAAAAATGAAGGATCCCAGATTAAAAGAAATAAAAAAAAAATTTAAAAAAAATCCCTAACTAGATCCATTATTAGTGAAATTTAAGAACATCAACAACAAAATAAATGATGCAGAATTCTCAGAAAAAGGGAACAGATACCTAAAAAGATCAGGAATCACACTGGTAGCAGACTTTTGAGACAATACTAGATTCAAGAAGAAAATAAAGTAATATTTTAAAGTAGTAAAGGAAAAGATCTTGGAACCTGCAGAAATTGTTACATTAAATAGATTCTATATGCAATTTCCATGACTTCAGTGTGGATATCATTACTATTAACAAATTACCAAGACTTCTGGACAAAGCAGTAAGAAAAGAAAAAGATAAAGGTGTATAAAAGTAGGAAAAGTAAAGCTAAAACATTTATAGAAATACGACCAGCCATCTTAGGAAAAAATCAACAGAATTAAAAAAAATATTAAAATTCATAAGGAAGTTTAGGCATTATAAAATCAATAGTATCTTTTCTCACCAAAAATAACCTACCTAAATAAGTACAATGTAAGATAATATACCATTCATAACAATAATAAAAGCCATAATGTGCCTAGGAAATTAACCAACAATGGACAAGTTTTCTATGGAAAAAACTAAAAATTTTAAAGCATACAACATGGTCTGAATAAACAGTCCTATATTTCAACAGAAAGACTTAATACATCAGTTCTCTTCAAATTAATCTAGTGAATTCAATTTTAATGAGAAGCTTTATTGGATTTTTAAGCACCAATACATTTGTCCTCAAATGTATGTGAAAGACCAAAAACACATAAAAGAGTCAAGCTAGTCTTGAAAAAGAGGGAGAACTTGTTTTATCAGATATTAAGACATATTGCAGAGTCAAGCAATAAAAATAGCCTGGGAAGGGCATAAGAACAGACATCACAGATTAACAGGACAGAGCTCAGATACAAACCCAAACAAACAGAAGTGAGGTGAAGCCCCTCAGCTGTGTCCCACTCTTTGCGACCTCATGGATTGCAGCCCACCAGGCTCCCCTGTTCATGGGATTTTCCAGGCATGAATATATTGACACCAGGCAGCCATGGGTAAACCACTCAGAAACAAATGACATTCTCCTCTGCCAAATATCACATATTTAGTTCAGTCTAGAACAATTTAAAAAACCTGGTATTCAATATACAGATCTATCATTGACAGTGGATTCATCCAGGGACTTTAATGCTAAATGAAAGCAGGTATGTTTTTCACTGGAGTTAGTAAGAGAATAACTGATTCTAAAACCCCTCTTTTAGGCTTGGGCCACACCTGAAACATTTAGGGAGGCTCTCCCCCTTGAGCTGTCCAATTTGGGGAAGTCATTTTCTTAGGCGGAAGGCATTGGAATCATTGGGATTTTTCCCTAGGTGTACCTGGAGAGTAACAGCAAAATCACCATTTACAGAACATGGGTCTCCTGCATGCTGATACCATACAGGGAAAGGAAAGCGTGAAATATGGTGGTATTTCTTGAACATTCCAGGCACGTTGTCAGCGCTGGGCCTTTTCATTTGTTGTTTGCACTGCCTGCAATTCTCTTCCCTTAGAGAGCCTCACAGTTGGCTCCTTCCCTCCTTCAGGGCTTTGCCCAAGTAGCACATCGTCAGAGAGACCTCCCATAACCATTCTATTTTCAATTCCAAGACCCCTTCCCACAGAATCATCCCCACCTTCCTCTTACCTGCTTAATTTTCCTCCATATGTAAATGTTTTGCTTATTTCTTTTGTTTGTTGTCTTTATTTCACTTCCTGAACATGAACTCATTCAGAGTTTTTGTCATTTTGTTCAGTGCTCATTCCTGGCAGGTAGAAGGTGCTCCATAAATCTTTGTTGAATAAGTGAATGGTTATTGTATATTAGCCTTCCCATAGATACTGGCAACAGTACTAAGGTATAAGCTCATCATCTGAAGTGTAGAGAAATGATCAACCAATTCTTGGTAGTGAATCTTCTTTACTTAACAACTGAGATACAATAATTAAATCAAAAAGTTCAAGCAGAAAATTTGTAGTTAGCACTTACTAATGTTCACATATTGTGAATCCTGATAAGTGTTTATGGGGTTGTTTTTTCTTTGAGAGAGATGCAATTAGCAATTCTTATTAATTTTCTGTAGTTGTATGTCAGGACTCACAATCATTATCTGAAGAGAAAACAAATAAAGCCTAAGAAAAAGATGACCAGAGCTGTGCCTTAGAAATCTTTGTGATTTTTAAGTCTATAAACCTTTGTTTATAAACAGAAAGGTGAGTCTGCAGTTACAAGAGAAAAAATACAGTCCACTTAGAAAGAAGCAGGTGATTTCAGAAGTAAAAAATTGGTGGTAGATTTCCAATTGTGTTCCTTTTGCCGTTAGGGAATTATCTGTCTTCACCCACTACCATGGGCCTTGAAGTGATCCTATACTCATTATTTTTATAATAATGCAGAATAACAAACCATCCTAATGGCTTACAATAAGCATTTAATTTTCTTCCTCCCAAAGTCTGCAAGTCAGCTGGGATGGTTCTGCTTCAGGATGTGGCTCTCCTGGACTTGTTTGTCTGAAAAAGTCTTTGTTTCATCCTGTTGAGTATAGAATTCCAAGTTGACAGTTTTGTTTTGCACTTTAAAGTTGTCATATCATTTTCTTTTGGCTTGCAGTTTCTAATGAGAAGTCTATGAAAACTTACTATTATTTCTCTGCATAATGTGCTTTTTTTCACTACTGCTTTTAAGATTTTCTCTTTAAGCTTTTGAGGGGTCTACAATAGCTTTTCCTTTAGACCCCAGTGTCTAGGGCTAGTTTATGTCACTACTAAGGCATGACACTTCGAGGGTCTCTATTGCATATTCCATTCAACAACTGTATTCAACAGTCTCCCCACTCTGGCTCCAGGGAACTCAAACGATTCCTAGTCCTGTGAACTCTGAAAATTGTTTGGCTTACTGCTCCCCCATAATTGCTTTCCTGGCCTTGTGGAATAGTCACAGAACATATTCACTGATTTTTATTCAGTTAAAGATGCAGATTTCTGAAGCTTTTTCTCCATGAACTCGGCCTCATAAATTCCAACCAATTTGGTCTCCCCAAAATCCAATCCCCGTCTACTCCATTCGGTAAGACCTGTCCTCTCAGGGAGACCCTAGGCTCTGTTAAAGTTCCCCTTGTACTTGCAAACTGGAAACTGCCTCTGGACAGAGACCCAGAGTCATACCCGGCTATCTCATTTGTTTCTCTTCTTTCAGGTAAAAGGACTGGATCTGCCTGCCGTTCGATGTCTGAACAGTTTATTTTCACATTGCTCAGTTTCTTAATAAGTCCCAGACCCATTTCTTCTTGTCCAGCAGTGGGCGTCTTAAATGCCTTGTGGAAAACGCAGATTGTTTTATAAACGTTATTTTCTGTGGTTAAAATTCACCTCTCGCTAGGGCACTCCTCGTTTACTTCCCAGGAGTTGGTGATGGATCACTTCCTCCGGTGGTCTGCTCCACGGACCAGAGTCCGGACCCTGGCGCCACTTCCACTCCGCGCCGGCAGCGTCCTGTTTCTCCCGCGCGCGCCTCCTTCTCGCTTGGCTCCTCCCACCTTTCTTCTTGCCCCTCCCTCCTCGTTTCTCCAGCCCCCGTCGACGAAAGCCCTCGCGTTCCGCGCGCCGGCTCACTGCGCCTGCGCGGCGTCTGGACGCCTCACGTTCCCGGAAGTGGGAGGTACCCGCTCGAGTTTGTGTGGCCGCCGCCGCGGGAACGCGAGCCCGGTAATTTTTCAACGGAGAAAGGCTAGGCTTTCGGGCTTGGCCAGGTGAGAGTGAGCGAGTGGCGGGCTCCAGCAGCTCCCTTCTGACGTGACACGCGACATGGAGGATGAGCAGAACCTCCAACCTGGCGGCGAGGCCGTGTCTCCCGCGCGTCGCGCGTCTCCCGGGTCGGAGTGCGGGGACGAAGCCCAGCGTCCGAATCCCGAGGTGAGAATCTGGCCGCGCGCCCCTGAAACAAGAGGGTTTCCCGCGGGAACCGCAGCCCGTGCGCCCTGGGACCCTAGCCCTGGCAGCCTTTCCTGGCCTCAACTGCGGGAGCCGTTTTCTGGGGGTAGTTGTCATTGAGCCCTTTCCAGTTCCAGGTACCGTCTGGAAGTAAGTCAACAGCCCAGACGAACTGAGTGTGCGAACTGAGGTTTTAGACGTTCTGAGTGGGAATTCTGCTGTAAACTTTCGGAGTTAACAATCGGTTACACGATTGCTATCGTCATTCCGGTAGCCCTAGTCTGTAATTGGTAGTTTATGTTTTTAGAAATCTCACCCCAGCTCCAAGTATATCACCCCTTAAGACCTTTAAGGCCATCTCCCAGCCTTCGCAAAAGGTAACTCTGCCTGTTGGCTGGGACTTCGTCTATGGTTTTTGGACCATTTTACTCCTGCTTCGTATAAACATAATGTATGAGTGGTGGTGGTGTTAATGATTTTGACAGCTTAGTGGTAGATTCTACAGTGACGAAGTTGTAAAGACGGTCTTAAAACGTCTTTAATCATCTTCTTTGATAGCTGTAATTATTGTTGACTAGCTGCAGACTGTAAATAATACCAAAACTGGTAATTTTCTATTAATAATATACAAATACTGAGTGCCTCGTAGTGTGGGTAGTTGGAGGAGGCGTCCTAACTTTTGCTTTTTCCACCTACAGCCAATTCTCCACATAGCAGCTGGAATAATCTTTAGTAACATGAATCTGACTGGGTTTCTCCCCTCCTAAATCTTCAGTTTTCCGGCCCCAGGACTTGGCTGCTTCCTCCATTCTTAGCTGTAGCTCTTCCCACTTGCTCTCAGTGGCCACCATCCTTGGTGTTATGGTGGGTGGTTTTTCTTGTTAAAGGTCTTTTGTGTGCTTTCTTTGCCCTGAGTCTTTGAATAGTTATCTGGTTCACCTTATGATGCTACTTTCAGAGAGGCCTCCATATCTCTTCTCTCTAAAGAACCATTTCTACTCTGCCATCCTTCTTCAGTTTAAGATACTGTCAATAACATTGTCATGTGAGTTGTACAAAAATAATTTTTAAAAGTTTATGTTTAATGAGAGTAGCGTGATTGAATACACTTTATTTAAATGTCTTAAAACTTTGAGCTCAAAACAAAACTGAGCTATAGTGACTCAAGGCCTGAATCTGTTCCTGGTTGGTTTTAGTGACCGTCATATTTGTTAAAATCCTGTTGTTGGATGCTTTTAATAAATGATGATACAGTCCTTTTTTTTTTCAGGCTTAAGTAAGCAAGTTTGGATTTCAGCTAAGTAAATTTTCATTATCCTTTATATCAACAAAAGTGTTTTCACAAATGAATAGGTATTACATTTTTATGCTTTTAACGAAGTAGGTTCAAATTTCATCAGAACTCTTCTTTGGGAAAGATTTTAATCAAGTTTAATTCTGCTTCTGATTTCTTTAATGTGTAGATTCAGAGGCTTTTTAAAAAAAATAGGTAATGTGCAGGGGTTTTGGGGGCAATAAAATAATGGAAATGTTTCTAAAACATCTGTTCCCTAAATGTTCTTGCCACAGAAAAGGTTTCTTTTGATCATGGTCGCTTCCATATTGTAAAGATTCTCTCATTTGAGATAATATAACCTATGTAACCATTTACTGGGACATGTGAAAATTGCAAAATGTCACAGTATCATGAAGTTGAATATTCCTTCCTATACTGTGGAGTCTCCTTACTTTGCTCATTGTATGGCTGATACTTTACGACATTGGACAGATGGACTCAGACACTGGGGAGGGTACCATTGTCAATCTGTGTATTACTTGGTAAACTAACCTTGTGTTTTTGTAGATTAATAATACATACAGGGTTTTAAATATTTTCTTTCTGCTTCTTAGTGGATTGTCTTGAATAACTTTCTTTGGAAGTTTGTGTAGACTGAAATTTGTGAGAACTGCACCTTGACCGTGTCCTGAGCTTCACTGAAGGAGGAGGACTAGAGTTGGACCCAGGGGATGAGACAACTTTCTTTATTGAAACCATGATTTATAACATATTTAGAAGAGGCCTCGTACTTGTGGGTAATTTTTGTAACTACAGTTCTAGATGAAAATAAAGCGTGTGAGTAGGAGAGAGGACTAAGCCGAAGAGAAGACTCGCTTGAATTGACTGAGACATCTGTTTTGGTAGGCAAACTGTTGTTCAGTGTAGGGCCTAAATTTTAACCTGATTGAAGATGGAGCTTAAAATTCACTGTAAGTATAACAACAAAGGGTGAATTAGGAATCCTGATTATATTCTAATGATAAAGTAGCCAAGCGTTGTAAATTTATTATTTAAAGCAAATTATTTTCTTTACCTTTAGTCAAAGATCTGTGAAATAAGGTTTCTAAAACATTTGTTATCAAGTAACTTCAATATAATTATTCTTCATTTTACGGACAGTTCATACTTTGGAATTCCTGACCTCTTCCTCAGAGGAGATGGGAGTGAGTATTTCTAGTACAGTGTCTGCCAAACATGTGTTAACATTAAATGGAGAGCTAAGAGTGAGAAATAGTCCCTGAGTCATCAGGATTAGTCCTGACTCAGAGACTGTGGCCTTTCCATGGTTATCCCTCCTCAATGTGTAATTAAGTTCACATGGGCACAGTATAGTAAATTATAACTAACAAGTTTTGTATAGATTGCTAGTAAACTCCAAAGTATTTTTGAAAATTCTGGAACATACCTCATATTTGTGACATTGCATGTGGAAACTTGTAAATGAATCTTTGGAGCTTAACATTTTAGTAATTTGGGCGTGATTAGAGTCAAATTGTCTTTCTCAACTTGAATTTTAATTTAAGAATGGAAGAACAGTTTATAATGTAGTAACTATAGTTCTCCTTAATAACCTATATATATGTATGTAACTTTTGGAAATTGTGTGTTTTGAAACAGTGTGTTTTGATCTTTGCTTTGGGTAATAACATGTTTTGGATTAGATTTCTCGCCATTTTATTTTTATATTGGCCAGTTTCTGTTAACTTTGTGAAATGAAGTCAGGCTAAAAATTCTCAGGAAGACACTCATTTATACGTGTTAAGTGTTGTGAAAGTTTATTTAAAAATTGGTTCATTTGTAAATTTTAGAATATTGTTTGTGAAAAGGTCTGATCTTCTGTGATGGTAATATTTATTGATAGCCATGGTAGGTATGGGTTTTTCCATTACAGTGATGCCAGTGGTAAAGAATCTGCCTGCCAGTGCAGGAGTTGTGGGTTCAATCCCTGGGTCAAGGAGATCCCCTGGAGAAGGGAATGGTAATCCACTCCAGTATTCTTGCCTGGAACATTCCTTGGACAGAGGAGCGTGGTAGGCTACAGTTCATGGGGTTGCGAAGTGTCAGATACCACTGAGCAACTAAGCACATGGTGGGTGTGGCATTGGGAACCTGATATACTTGATTTCATTTAATCCTTATAATGACGTCTCCCACATACTATTTATCATTACCAGTACCAAATACCATTTGAGATAGTTATTATTATATTTTATTTTATTTTATAGATAATGAAATTGAAGATCAGAGGCTAATAAGTAATTACCCAAGGTTATGCAGCTAGTAAATAATCAGCTGGGGGCTCTGTCCTGAGGTTGTTCTGACTCCCAGCCCCAGGGCTCTTTTTATCTAGCTTCTTTTCTTGTAAGATAACCTCATGACTCAGAAGAGAGCAGGGTAAATTGTTCTGGAAACACATCTTTCTTCTTGCTCTGCCCTTTTATTGAACATACAGCACAAAGAGGCCTTAATCTTTAAGATGCTTATACTAACTGTAAACTATATATATACCCACACTTTATTTTTTTGTAGAAAAAGCAACGGTGTAGACTCGATGGCCAAGAAACAAAAGCATCTAAGTTGATTACCTCCAGTGCAAGTGATTTCAGTGACCCAGTTTACAAAGAGATTGCTATTACGAATGGTTGCATTAACCGAATGAGTAAGGAAGAGCTCAGAGCCAAACTTTCAGAATTCAAGCTTGAAACCAGGTAACTAAAAATAACTTTCAAATAGCAAAAGTAGTACACGTTCATCTTAGAAAAGCTGGAAAACACTGACAGAAATCATCTGTAATGATTAATTATCAGCTGATTAGTTATCAGGATTTTTCATGGATAAGATTCCTTTTCAGTGGTAATTTCAAAAGGAAAACAAAAGAGTAGAAACAGTTTTTCTAACAGTCACTAATTGGTGATGTGACCAAAATGCCTTCCTTGTCACTTCCCATTAGTTACAGTTTTTAGATCCTCTTATTTTTACTACCATTTTGTATTTGCAAGCCCCTCTAGGACTCAATCAAGTAACAATGAAGGACTTTAGATTTTTTGAAGAAACACATACTATTTGACGAACCAGTGTGACTGCCTTTACCCACCATAGTTATCTGTTTAGAACAACCTTGTCCCACCTTCTGTTTGTGGAACACATATTTTAAAAATAACTGTAGGGACTTCCCTGGCAGTCCAGTGGTTAAGACTCCAAGCTTCCACTGCAGGTTCAATTTCTGGTTAGGGAACTTTGATCCTGCATGCCATGCAGCATGGCCAAAAAATAAAAATAAAAAATCTGTAAAACTGAATCTCCTAAATCATATTTTACCCATGGTAAATTAGAAATCTATTTCCAGTTAAGAATCTACTGGCTATGGCAGTGTTCTTCTGGACATGGTTTATTTTAGGATGTCTCCTAAATTAGTTTTCCTAGTTAAATAGCTAAGGGGCATTCAACTTTATATACTAGGCCCATAATACTTTTAAATTCACATGGGTTTTTTTTTTTTAAGTTATCTAACTTACAAAAGCCAAAGCTAGGAAAGAGCATAAGTTGTTTAACTTGCCTGGATTTTTATTCTCTGAAGTTTGTGTTTGGTCAATAGAATAATTCAGTCTTAATTTCAGTTTTTGTATCCTGTATGTCATCTTATTGTATAAGGCAACAGGGCTAGGTAGGTGGTGTATGCCAGCAAAGCTGCTGGTGTGAAAGACCAATATATAGTTTATATACTGTACAACAAAAATGAAAAATTACATGTGAAGGAGAATACTGATGCTGTATTAGATGCTCTGTTTTAATTAGTTGCTTGCTGACTTAGCTCTGATTCCTGCTTTCTTTACCTTCATTTGGCTAACATTTGCTAAATTAGTCTGTGACTATCAGTGTTCAATCCAGCGCCAGCAGGTAGGAGTTCACGTTCTTGACTATAAAAGTCACCTCAGAGTTCATTTTATTCTTATTTTCAATAGAGGTGTAAAGGATGTATTAAAGAAGAGACTGAAAAACTATTACAAGAAGCAGAAGCTGATGTTGAAAGAGAGCAATTGTGCTGACAGTTACTACGATTACATTTGTATTATTGACTTTGAAGCCACTTGTGAAGAGGGAAACCCACCTGAGTTCATACATGAAATAATTGAATTCCCTGTTGTTTTGCTGAATACTCATACCTTAGAAATAGTAAGTGAATTTATATTTTAATTTTTGTTTTAGCAGCAGCTGTTCTGGGGTTGACTAGTAAGGTGGAGGATTCCATTTGCTGTTTTAGTTAGAATTCTAAAGGGGGGTGTTTGCTCTTGATTCATTCTTAATAGATGGGCTATAATAATTTCAGAGTCTGCTGCTCTCCTTAAAAAACAGTAGCTTAAAAAAACACAAAGCTCCCTGATGCCTGGCCCTTGTCCCAAATATTAGTTGTTCTGTGGTGGGGCCCCTAGCATCAGCTTTTTTGTTTTCTTGAAAGCTCAGTTGGTATGTAGTCAAGGTTAAGAACCACTGCAGTAGACTACTGTATACTTTAATCTATAAAAATGCTAAGGTACAGAAGTTACCTTTCAACCTAAAACCAGTTCGCTTTCTGATGAAAAGTTTATGCGTGAACAACTCTTGTAACCTTGGCTTTTAAGCCATGTAACATACATGCACTGTTAGCTCAGGAGCTCAACAGGATCCCTCCAGATAAATGCCATTTGCCTTGTAAAATCTGACCAAGGATTGTAATAGCTCATCTATGCAGAGGTACCACTTTTATGGTATCCCCAGTTGCCACACACTGGGAATAAATATAAAAAGGCTTTGTGCATTAAAATACACAGGATTTTCCCTTTGTGCTGTTTGAAGCCTCTTAATCAGTCCATTTAAATAATTCCTTGTCCAAATCAGATTAAAGGTCAGTAAATTAAAAGAAGACTTCCCTGGTAGCTCAGCTGGTAAAGAATCCACCTGCAATGCAGGAAACCCTGGTTTGATTCCTGGGTTGGGAAGATCCGCTGGAGAAGGGAGAGGCTACCCACTCCAGTATTCTTGGGCTTCCCTAGTGGTTTAGCTGGTAAAGATTCTGCCTGCAGTGCAGGAGACCTGGGTTCAATCCCTAGGTTGGGAAGATCCCTGGAGAAGGGAACAGCTACCTACTCCAGTATTCTGGTATAATTAAAAGAAAAAATGACAGCTATGAAAAAATCATCTTGCATAATTCACTAGGTCTCACTTTCTCAGTGATGGGTGAGGCTCTTGCCACTCTCCTCCCACATTTAGACATGAATGATTCATTGCTTTCTACTGTGTTATTACATCACATTGTTGTTATTGTTCAGTCGCTCAGTCGTGTCCAACTCTGAGACCCCGTGGACTGCAGCACACCATGCTCCCTGTCCTTCACTATCTCCCGGAGTTTGCTCAAACTCATGTCTGTTGAATTGGTGATGCCATCCAACCATCTCATCCTCTTTCACGCCCTTCTCCTCCCGCCTTCAGTCTTTCCCAGCATCAGGGTCTTTTCCAGTGAGTTTGTTCTTTGCATCAGTTGGCCAAAGTATTGGAGCTTCAGCTTCAGCATCAGTTCTTCCAATGAATATTCAGGATTGATTTCCTTTAGAATTGACTGGTTTGATCTCCTTGCAGTCCAGGGGACTCTCAGGAGTCTTGTCTAGCGCCACAGTTCAAAAGCATAGATTGTTCGGTGCTCTGCCTTCTTTATGGTCCAACTCTCACATCCGTACATGACTACTGGAAAAACCATAGCTTTGACTGTAAGGGCCTTTGTTGGCAAAGTGATGTCTCTGCTTTTTAACATGCTGTCTAGGTTTGTCATAGCTTTTCTTCCAAGCAGCAAGTGTGTTTTAATTTCATGGCTGCAATCCCATCACATACAAACTGGTTATTTTCACACCATAAAAAACCTTCGCTTGATCCCACTTCCCTGACAACTACCCTGTGTCTTTGTTCCTCCATGGCAGATTTCTTTATAAAAGTTATATACACTTCTGTCTCTCTTTCCTCCCATTCTCTTAAGTCCCCACCACTTGCAGGTATAAGTTATGTATTCCGTCCCATCACTCCACTAAAATCACTCCTCAGTGTCATCTTTGACCTTTGCTTAAGTCCTGCTGGAACTGACCACTCTCTCCTTGAAACTCTTTGCTCAGAGAACTGCCAGTACCCCTCATTGGCCTACATTTTTGCCAGCCTCACTGGGCTCCCTTTCACAGTTTCCTTTGCTGTTTCCTCTTCTCCCGCTTCCGAGTATTGGACGCCATAGGTTCAATCCCAGCTCTTCTTCTCTGTATACACTTTCTCCCTTAATGAACTCGCCTGTCATCTAGTTCCATAGCTTTTAGAAATTCCATAGAAACGGGTATCTTCTGAATACATATATCCAGCCTCATCCTCGATCCAAAATCCAGGCTGTTACTTAACATCTCTACTTTGACATCTAAACATCCTAACGTGTCCCAGACTGAATTTACTGTCAACTTGTTTTATCTTCAACCTTCCCTGGCTTGAGGGCTGGCAACTCGGTCCTTCTGCTTGCTCAGTCCTGAAACCTTGGAGTCATCCTTGACTCCTATTCTTTTGCATCACACATCTAGGCTATCAGGACTCTTGTTGGTTCTGCCTTCAGAGTGCATCCAGAACCAGCCACTTAACTGCACTGCTATGCCTGTAGTTTGAGCCCCATTGATTTCTTGTCTGGGTTTACTGCATTTGTTCACCATTTAACCAGTCTCTGTTTCTGTCTAAGGGCTTTCCTTGATAGCTCAGTTGGTAAAGAATCTGCCTGCAATGCAGGAGGCCCCAGTTCAATTCCTGGGTCAGGAAGATCTGCTGCAGAAGAGATAGGCTACCCACTCCAGTATTCTTGGGCTTCCCTTGTGTCCTTGTTCCCTATAGCCAGTTCTCAATTTAGTGACCTGTGAAACTGAAAGTTGCTCAGTCGTGTCTGACTCTTCGCAACCCCGTGGACTATACAACCCCTGTACTATCCCCTTGGAATTCTCCAGGCCAGAATACTGGAGTGGGTAGCCTTTCCCTTCTCTAGGGGGTCTTCCCAACCCAGGGATCAAACCCAGGTCTCCTGTATTGCAGGCGGTTTCTTTACCAGCTGAGTTATGAGGGAAGCCCCTTTAGTGACCAGAGTGCCCCTTATAAAATAGAAGACATATGATTTCATTCCTCTGTTCACAGCTCTTTTATGGACCCCCGTTTAACTCAGATTAAAAGTTATATTCCTTTTACAATCTGGCCTCTAGTTACCTCTGATTGCAGCATGTTGACCTGCTTGCTGCTTCTCAGAAATGCCAGGCATGCTCCACCCCCTCACCTCCCAGAGCTTTAGCTCAAATTCCTTTCCTCCAGAGATCTTGCTGCTAATTTCCTTCCTCCGCCCCCCCCCCCCCCATCCTTCCTCCCTCCCTTCCTTCCAGGCCTTCCTTAACTCTTGCCTCCTAAATAAAGTCTCACTGGCTCTCTATTCAGTCTGAACACCCCCAGCCACCAGTGTTTCTGATCTCTCTTATCTACTCTTATTTTTTAAGAACCGTCATCACCTTTTAACTTGTTATGTACTTTATTTAAGTAATTATTCAGTATTTGGTCAATGAATGCATAGTTAGTTCTCTGGCATCATTCTCTTACAAATGTTAAATAATACCAGCTTGTGATGGTAAGAGAGATTGGATCTTTTTTTTTTTTTTTAAGATTTTCATTTAAAATTATGAGATAAAATCCTGATACTTAAAAGGATGAAGTAAAATGAAGTAAAGTCACACTTAAAAGGATAGACTTCATTTATCTAAGAAATCCAAGAAGTAGAATTTTTTCTTTTGAAATATGTCTGATAAGTAAAGGACGTCTCTTAACTTTAGACGTTCAGATGTTCTTTGCTGTTCTTTCACTCTTTTACAATTATTGTTAACTATTGATAATTCATCTGCTTAATACACTAGTGTGTAAAAAGAATTTTGTAAACACTGTTTTTTCTTAATTTTTTAATCTTCTATTATAAGGAATATTCTTTGTCTTTTCCTTCATAGCTACCTAGTATTAATAGTTGCTGCCAATAAATCTTTAAAAGACTTTGAAATTGTCCTTGATTTGAACAAGTGACTTAGTGTGATCTGGTTTAGGGAAGCTGCATTGGGCTAAAGGAAGAAGCACTTAGATCTGAGCTTGATGATAACAGTTCTGTCCTTACTGAGTTCACAGAGTTGTTGTGAGCACAGAATAAGAATGCAAACCTGAAAGCTTCTTCAAGAGGTTAAACATTGCTAAAATAATTAGTGCTATTACTACGCTTTATTTATTTATTTTTTATTTTTTTAAATTTTTATTATTTGGAGGCTAATTACTTTACAATATTGTAGTGGCTTTTGTCATACATTGACATGAATCAGCCATGGATTTACATGTATTCCCCATCCCGATCCCCCCTCCCACCTCCCTCTCGACCCGATCCCTTTGGCTCTTCCCAGTGCACCAGGTCCGAGCACTTGTCTTATTACTACGCTTTAAACTGCTGCATGTCATATAGTTAAATTTTGATTACTCAGAATTCAGTTTAGTGAAATCTTAATATAAAAATAAGATCTAATTAGTGAATGAGAGCAGGAATCTGAACTAATTTATTGTAACTGAAAACTGGCATTTCTTCAGCATACTTTCTGTTATTTGAAAAGCTCTTAATATCTTCAACTAGAGGTTGTGTTAATAGGCTTTACATTTCCAAAATATTATAAGCAAAGTCATCAGTGTTTTGCTCCTCTGGTTAAACTTTGGTTTGAAGATTTCAGATACTTGTTCTATCTTAAACGTTTGTAAAGTGTGAAACATAATTTATTAACTAAAAAATTAGAGTAATTTGGGAATAGGGCATTAGCCTTAAATTGTTAAAACTGTAGTCTCTGCCTTAACCACCTGTAAGGTTACAACCCGGTGTGGCTGATGTTGTCATATATTATGTCATGTATCTTAAGTCATAGAAATACTTCAATCTGCTCTCCTTCCCTTGCAGGAAGATACATTTCAGCAGTATGTGAGACCAGAGATTAACACCCAACTTTCTGACTTCTGCATCAATCTAACTGGAATTACTCAGGTTATCATTCTGTGTTCCTTTTTGTAGAGTTTGAAGGAAGTTTTGAAATTAGGGATTTATTTCATAAAATTATTGTTGTAAACAATTAAATGTGACACTTTCCTTGCTTGGTAAAGATCTTTTGCTTTGTAATATTTAGAAAACAGGAAAGCACATTTTACACCTGATAAGATTTTTTTCAGCCTTTTAAAGTGTTGTAATGATGAATCTAAGCATTTCATTTGTTTGGAGCATTAGTGAAGGAAAAGTTAAGTTACCATGCTGCACTTGGGGATGAAGTTTTAAAATATATCTGTTTACAACCTGATTTTATATATAGCCTAATTTTTTTTAGGTCTCTGACTTTTGGTTGTATTCTAATGTGGCAGGACCTTTGTCCATTTACTTAGTTGCTTTATTCATTTGTTCAGCAAATATTTGAGGGTGTGCTTAATATCTGCCGAGCTACAAGGGATACAGAAATAGTCAGGATAGTCTCTCTCCTCAGCTCTCTTAGCAATTGTAGATTGGGGGGACTGACAAAAAAACAGTGGTCACAGTATAGTTAGGAAGACTGATAGTGTTTCCTCAGGGTGTCATGGGCATCTGTAGAAAGACCCTTCTCTGACAAAGGGAACGGAGGACTATCCTGGGCAAAACTCAAGTTGGTGAGCTTGGGCAGAGTCACGATGGGTAAACAGATGTAAAAGAATGACTGGGCATTTCAGGTGTGACGGGCAGAACTTTTAAGTGGTTCAGGATGGTTCAGGTGTCTTAGGGGCTGAGGAGAAAATGGTCACAGATAAAGCTGAAGTAATAGAGATGAGCTATATCGTGAAGGGTCTTTTTTGTCTGGAAAGCCTTGGTGAGTGTTTGGAGGATTTTCAGTATGATAAAGTGATGTGATGGATGATTTACATCTTCGGAAGATGTATGTAGTATGTTTTGGAAAGATGTGAGCTTTGAGATGCTGAGACACTGTAGAGGGCCAGGGCTTTCAGCTGAGAAGAGATGGCCCTTTTCTCCCCTCTGGAGAATCGAGAAGCCACTAGGTTGAGGCCTGAAAAAAAGAGAGTGCCTGCGGATGATCTTACATCTTCATTTGGGGACAATTATATACTTCACTTGAAAGCAGTTCCTAATATTTGGCTATAAATAAATTCTTAATTGTCTTAAAATTGAAATTTTGGATGAATCTTAGCCTAAGAAACCATAGAGTTCAAAACATCATAGATAAGACTTTGTCCTGCTTTTTCATGTCCCTCCAGTGTTTGTGTCTTGAGTATTTTGTAGGACTGTATGTAACTACTGTGATTTTTATGTATTTTACTTTCATATCTTCAGGAGCAAGTAGACAGAGCTGATACCTTCCCTCAGGTACTGAAAAAAGTCATTGACTGGATGAAATTGAAGGAATTAGGGACAAAGTATAAATATTCCATATTAACAGATGGGTAAGTATTTAGGAAATTTATCTTAATCTACTTTTTAAGATTTAAGATACCCTTATTCATCTAACTTTTAGAATAACCACAGAAAATATTATTTCCTGAAGGAGCCCCCACAGTAGACAGTTTTCCTTTCATATCCTTATCCTTAGTTAAATTTTTAAGTCCTAGGGGTCAAAGAGAGGAGCGAAAGAAATAGTCTGATCCAGGACTAGAAGAATATTAAATATTAATATGTAAAATCTAAATGATTTTATTGTTTTTATCATGACACTTCTTGCTCAAAAAAGTCCAAACTCTTCAGTCTGGCTTTCAAGGCTCTCATCTAATCCCACCCTACCTATGTAGCCTAATCCTCGTGCTGTTTCTCTTTTTCACTCCAGTTGGGCTGACACATGAATCATAGGGGTTTATCCTTCCTCTGTGTATGCATGCAACTTTCCTCTCTGCTGGAAGGTTCCCTTCCTTTGCTACTTACTTCTTTATTACTCAAAGCCCAGCTCGTGTTTTACTCCATACATTATAACTCATGTTGTTTCTGTTGAAGTCTTACAGCCTCTGCAATAGGTACCATTCATGTTGGCATCTAACTAAATATTCTGATATCTAAACTTTTATGTGTGTAAGATTTATGTTTGCAAGGAAATTAACAGTCCTTTCAGAGCAAGAGGTTTTGCAACTTGAGAATCTTCCATATTGCTTACTGTAGTGCTGAGCTTGAAACTATGCTTCATAAGCATTAGTTACATGAAAAGTCAAGTATGGAGATGAGAGCGATTAAAACAGGGATTAAAAATGGAAATTTATGAAGACATTGATGAGCCTCTTTAGAAATCTATCACTGATTTTTAGCATAAATGAGTAGTGTCCCTGCTTAATTACACAGGTGTCTCTGTCATAATACAGTGTGTGCAGTTCTGTAAAAACTTTGCATTCTGGGACAAATTGTTCAAAATCTGTGCAGTTTTGTAACCAGAGGACTAACAAAAACAGTGATTACCTCCAGAGATAATTTGGACAGTCCAGGCGAGCAGCCCACGGTCTGTGGAAGTCACCTCAGAGGATGTTACAAGTACACAGAAGCCAGAGGATCGTGGGGGCAGGCATTTGATTTTAATTTTCTTAAAAGTACTCCACTTGCCATTACAGCAGCTGAGTTGAGAATTTTTCTTTTTTCTTTCTTACCGAAGAGTATAATTTCAACTGCTTCAATTCTGACTCCCTTGGCTGAGGAAAAACTATATATGAAGCAGTACAGTTTCCACATGATACAGTCAGGATTCTTGATTTGTGTTGTAGAAGCATGTACTATGGCAGAACAGATTGTGTTCTAACTACTTGATATTCTCTGTGTTTCTCTCAGGTATTTTGTTCATTTGTTTGTAGTTTTCGTTTTATCTCAAAGCATACCCTCTGAGGGTATGTGATAAACCTGGCATTAAAAGTAAGCTGGGCAGTTCCTTTAGAGTTGTGAAAAAATACTCAAGAGGATAGAGGGGAAGTTTATTTTTGAGTTACTGTGGAGAAAGAGAAGTTAGATTTCTGAGCTTGATGTTATGTGTAAATATAAGAAGGATAATGTATAAATAAAAACAAATAATTGAATGACTTAAGATCCTCATTTTAAAGAATGGTATAGCATGTATTTAATTCAGTTTTCTTTCCTCTTTCGACTTAAGTTCATGGGATATGAGTAAGTTCTTGAACCTTCAGTGCCAGCTAAGCAGACTCAAATATCCACCTTTTGCTAAAAAGTGGATCAATATTCGAAAGTCATATGGAAACTTTTACAAGGTATGATTACTATATTGATTATACTGCTCTTGATGATAGATTTATTATATTTTGCATGTACATGAAGTTGTAATTTACTAGGGACTTTTCACAGAAGAAGATCATATAATTATTATGCAGACTCTAAATAGTTATGTTCATGTGAGTTTAGAAAAATAAGCTGTCTTCCTCATTCAACTTGTTACTCAAACAGGGTAAATGTATATGTATTGTTCAGTTGCTAAGTTGTGTCTGACTTTGCCACCCCATGGACTGCAGCACTCTGGGCTTCCCTTTCCTTCATTATCTCCCAAAGTCTGTGCAAGTTCATGTCCACTGATGATCTTTAGTAACAGAGATTTGAAACTGAAATATATGGCTTGCTTCTGGAACAAACAGTTCATACTGATTTTTAATTTTAGCAAAGTTAATATGTGTGTATAGTGTGAATTTCTTAAAATACTAAATAATATTGCAGGTCTTAAATAGCAGTCTTCCCCCATGGCCCTTACCGGTATTGGTTCCATTTCTCCCAAACACTTGCAGTTATTTAAGCTGTTTCTTCTCATATTAACCTCCTATTTCTAAATTATATATTTATGCTATTTCTTGAGTTTTCAGTCTGAGTTATCTGTTGAGTTCCTGCAGTGGACAGTGAAGATTTAGCTCCTTAAACAGCGACCATTCCTGCCTATCCTTCCTCTCCCTGCATCTTTCTAACTCAGTCACATTAGCTTTATAATCATTATTCAGTGTTTACATTTCTAATGACTGTGGAGAGTGTTCTCAGCTTTCAGTCAGATTGTTTACTTTTTTTGTTGTTGCATTTTAATAATTCTTTATACATTCTAGATGTTAATCCCTTTTCATATATGTGATTTGCAAATATTTTCTTCCATTCTGTGGGCTACCTTTTCCCTCTGGTAATAGTGTCATTTGATATATAAAAAGTATAAATTTTGTCAATTAAAATAATACATTACAGAAAAATACCATGCAAACAATTAGTTTGGGTTAAAACAGTAGGGCTTCAACTTAGATTTTCAGAACAATGTATTTCTTTTCATAAATGATTTATTAAGTTACAGAGCTGCAAACTTTTTGTTTTATGGACTCCCATCTGTTTGTATTTTTATCTAAATCTCTTAAGATCTTTTTTTTTAAAGTCTGAGAATTCTGTTTGCTTCATTTGATCTAGGAGTTTTTGCCCTTTGCCTAAATTTTTACTATTTTGCCTATTACTGTTAATTTTCAGTCTCTTATTTTCTACTTCACTGAGACTTACAAAATACTAAAGAGTTATTCACTGAGCTGTTCATGTTTCAGGTTCCTCGAAGCCAAACTAAGCTGACAATAATGCTTGAAAAACTCGGAATGGATTACGACGGGCGGCCTCACAGTGGTCTTGATGACTCTAAGAACATTGCCCGAATAGCAGTCCGAATGCTGCAGGATGGGTGTGAACTCCGGGTTAACGAGAAGATGCATGCGGGGCAGCTAATGAGTGTGTCCTCTTCACTGCCGATAGAGGGCACTCCAGCGCCACAAATGCCGCATTCCAGAAAATAACAGCATTTTTGCCCTTTTGCCTGTGGATCATTCACTCTAGCTGGAGCTGCTCCAAAGAGGTAGCGGATGAATACCTATTGAATTAGTCCTGCAGTGCAAAATTTAAGCACCTTAAACATTTAAAATCTTATTACAGTAATAGGTATATGCATACATATGTGAACAGATTCCGTGGGAGGGCATACTGAATTCTTTGTCACCAGCACTTTTGATATGAGCAGTATTTGTTACACAGTAACAGTTCCTGCTTAGAATTGAATTTTATAATTTAAGGTGTCCAAGATGTGTTCCTTTGGGTTTAAAATGCAAAGGTTTATTGGCTCTCCCCTTGAATGTTGTATCTTACTGATGTTAAAATATGTGATGTATTTCTACATCAACATCATTAGATCAGATTTCTTCAAATGCAGAAAAGATCAGAAAGGTGGGCCTTTATCTACTAGCCTTTGGGTTTTAAGAATATCAGAGTCCCTTTGATTTTTGAAGCTTATTTGTGAACATGAGCTGTGAGTGGTAAATTTCATAAAATACTTAGTACACATATCTGCCTGTTTGTTGTTTTTTTTTTCTTTTTATAACTGGAAGGCTCATGATAGGTTATAGGGTCTGGTTAAAAATTCAGTTACTGATGTCAATGGAAAGTCAAAAGAAAATACCATTTAAAGGAATATAAGGGCTACAGCTTGAAGTTTATAATATATAGATTAATCATTGAGGTCTTGGATTTGGTTTTTTGGTTCCCCTCCCTCTTGTGACATATCTGCCCTATTTCTTAAATCTAAGAGACCATGCTTTGATTTAGACTTTCAAGGTCACTACTTAATTTTGCATTTGTATTCAACATTATGAGTGAGGTTAATAAAGTCGAATAATACTTTCTACCATATCTTATGTTTATATTGTTAAAAACTGATTTTACATAGTGAGTGACCACCAAATGTTGAATAGTTAATTCTTAACTAATTCTGAAAACAAAAATGTGTTTATGTAGTTTAGAAAGTAAAACTCTCCTTATCTAGAAATACTTATTTTCAGAATTGGATTTCCCACTGTAATTTTCCTGGAACAATTTCATTAGCATTGCTTCTTTTCATTCACTTCCTAATAGTAATTGTGATGCTACTTTATTTTGATGATTTATACCTTATAATCAAATGAATTTTATAAAAGTATTCCAATCCTGATACATAGGAGGAAAGTAGGCATTTTCAGAGTGCTGTAGGTTTTTAACTTAAAAGAATGAATTCCTGCCTCTGAGCAGTCATTACAGCATCAGCATAATAAAGAATAATTAGAGGATAACAGAAGGCACAGTGTATGTGATGCCCTTAAACATACAGATGATAGTAAAACAGGGACATCTAGGTGTCTTTGACTTGAACAGTAAATTCTTGGGGCGAAAGGGATATATGCTAAGATTTTTGATAACCCAAATAGCACCATACAAGATACCATAAAGTATTACTGGACATTTTAAAGCATTTCCTTCAAATGCTTACAGAGGAACTGTGCCAGGGCCAAGCATTAATATTCAGAAACAGCAAATCACCAGCAAGGTGTGGACACTGGGATGTCCAGTCACGCTCCCTAGGCAATTTCTCCACGTAGCCACCTCAGCATAGAATTCAAATATATGCCACAGCATAGCTGGAGTCCTCTCTCACCAGCTTCAAGAGTTGCTCACAAGAGCTGAAATTTGCAAGGGAGAAATCGGAGGATAGCAAAGAAATATATTGAATTGCCTTCCTCTTTTGTTTTCAAGTCCAGCTGCTAATCTCTTTGCCTATTTTTCTTTTTGCCAAGTATCAACAAGCTCATTTTATATTTCTTTTTTTAATATATATATTTCTTTTTAAGACCTTCAGCAATATAAGCTTTCAATATCCTTTTGGCTCACTAAGTGTTTTATCTGGTGATGCTTTACTGTCCTGACTCTCTTTTTAAGACTTTATTGAGGAATAATTGACAAATATGTATATATTTAAGTAGAAACATGGTGATTTGATGCACATTGTGGAATGGTACCAAGATCAAGATAATTGGCACGTACATCACCTCATATAGTTCGCTTTTTTTTCTTTTTTTGATGGTGAGAATGCTTGAGGTCTTCTCTCAGCAACTTTCAAGTATTCAGTACCATGTTATTAAGCATGGTCACAATACTATACATTATATCTTGGAAATTATTCTTTGTATAACTGAAAATGTGTATCCTTTGACCTATGTTGCCTCATTTCTGCCATCTTCAGCTCTTGGCAACCACCATTCTGTTGTCTGTTTCTATGAAGTTGGACTTTTTTTCTTTTTCTAGATTCCCCATATAGGTGATACCATAGTGTTTGTTTTCTCCGTCTGGCTTATTTCACTTAAACTTCCAGGTTCATCCACATTGTCACAAATGGTAGGATTTTCTTCTTTTTTTATGGCTCAATAATATCCCTCTGTGTGTGCATGTGTGTGTGTACCATTTTTCCCCCCAAGGTATTTTTTGAGTTCCCTTTTAACTTCTTTGAGCCATTAGTTTCTCAGAAGTGTATGTATAATTTCCAGTTATATATGAGTTCACTTTTGTGAACTTACCAGCTTTCCTCCTGTTACTGATTTCTAGTTTCATACCATTGTGATCAGAAAAGATACTTGGTATGATTTTAGTCATCTTAAATTTGTTGAGACTTACTTTGTGACTTAACGTATGATCTATCCTAAGATGTCCTTGTGTGCTTGAGAAGAATATGTACAGGTAATACCTCAGAGAAAGTGCGGGTTTGGTTCCAGACCACAATAAAGTAACTGTCACAAGAACTTTTGAGTCATGTGAACTTTTTTTGTATATTTACACTGTAGTCTACTAAGTGTGCAGTAACATTATGTCTAAAAAAATTTAAACATGGTATTGCTAAAAAATACTAGTCATCTTCTGAGCCTTCAGTGAGTCTTAATCACTGTTGGTAGAGGATCTTACCTTGATGTTGATTGCTGATTGACCAGACTGGTATCTATTGAAGGTTGGGGTGGCTGTGACAGTTTCTTAGTAAGAGACAGTAATGAAAGTTTGCCATATCAGTTGACTCACAAATGATTTCTCTGTAGAATGCAGTGCTGTTTGACAGCATTTTATCCACCTTTCAAAACTGGTGTCAGTTCCCTTAAACCCTGACACTGCTTTATCAACTAATTTTATGTAATATTCTTAGTCCTTTGTTGTCATTTCAACAGTCTTCACAGCATCTTCACCAGGAGTAGATTCCATCTCAAGAAACCACTTTCTTTGCTCATCCATAAGAAGCAACTTCTTCTCCATTGGTTTTATCATGAAATTTCAGCATTTCACACCTTCTGACTCCACTCCTAATGCTAGTTCTCTTATTATTTCCACCACATCTGCAGTTACTTCCTCTGCTGAAGTCTTAAACCTCTCAGAGTCATCCAAGAGGATTGGAATCAACTTCTTACAAACTCCTGTGAATGTTGATACTTTGACCTGTTCCCATGACTCACAAATGTTCTTAGTGGCATCTAGAATGGTGACTCCTTTCCAGAAGGTTTTCAATTGACCCTGCCCAGATCTATCAGGGGAATCTCTGTTTATCACACCTGTAGCCTTCAGTTCAATTCAGTTCAGTGTCTCAGTCATATCTGACTCTCTGCGACCCCCATGAACTGCAGCACGCCAGGCCTCCCTGTCCATCACCAGCTCCCGGAGTTCACCCAAACACATGTCCATTGAGTTGGTGATGCCATCCAACCATCTCATCCTCTGTCATCCCCTTCTCCTGCCTTCAGTCTTTCCCAGCATCGAGGTCTTTTCCAATGAGTCAGCTCTGCATCAGGTGGCCAAAGTATTGGAGTTTTAGCTTCAACATCAGTCCTTCCAATGAACACCCAGGACTGTTCTCCTTTAGGATGGACTGGTTGGATCTCCTTGCAGTCCAAGAGACTCTCAAGAATCTTCTCCAACACCACAGTTCAAAAGCATCAATTCTTCAGTGTTCAGCTTTCTTTAAGTCCAACTCTCACATCCATACATGACTATTGGACTAAAGAATAAGACTTGAAAGTTGAAATATTCCTTGATTCATGAGCTGTAGAATGGATGTTACTGTTGGTAGACATGAAAACAGTGTTGAATAATGTTGCTATTGCTGCATTACCAATGAGCAGTAATACCTTGAATTGTTTTCTGAGCAGTAGGTTTCAACAGTGGGTTTAAAATATTCAGGAAACCATGCTGTAAGCATGTTGTCATCTAGACTTTATTCCATTTATGGAGCACAGACAGAGTAGATTATCGTTCTTGAGGGCCATGGGATTTGGGGGACTGTAAATGAGCATTGGCTTCAACATTAAGTCACCAGCTGCATTGGCCCCTAACGAGAGTCCGCCTGCCCCTTGAGGCTTTGAAGCCAGGCATTGGCTTCTCTCTAGCTATCAAAGCCCTAGACAGCATCATCTTCCAACAGAAGACAGTTTTGTCTACATTGAAAGTCTGTTGTTCAGTGTAGCCACCTGGATTAATTAGCTAGATCTGGGTGACTTGCTGCAGCTTCTACATCAGCACTTGTTGGTTTACCTTACACTTTTATATTATGGAGACTGCTGCTTTCCTTAAACCTCACGGACCAAGCTCTGTTGGCTTCACACTTTTCCTGACACTTGTCCTCATCACTCTCAGCCTTCATAGAATTGAAGAGAGTAAGGGCCTTACTTTGGATTATGCTGCAGCTTAAGGGAATATTGTGGGTTGTTTGATCTATCCATACCACTAAGCCTTCATCAGCAATAGGACTTTCACTTTCTTAAAATTCATGTGTTCACTGGAGTAGCACTTTTAATTTCCCTCAAGAACTTTTCATTTGCATTCACAACTTGGCCATTTGGTGCAAGAGGCCTAGCTTTTGATTTCAAATGAGAGTTGTGGGACTATTCCTGTCACTTGAACACTTAGAAGCCATTATAGGGTTATTAATTGGCCTAATTTCAATATTGCTGTGACTGAGATA